GTTGTCAAGGACAGCCTTTTCATCAGCGCCATGAAAATCCGATTATAATTTATGGACAGAGGAGAATACGATAACCTGTATTAGAGGTAATGTCATGACCAGGGCATGCATGGTCACCTCTGGAACTGGTTTACCCATCTTTATTGATGTAACATCTATTCTATTCAAGTAGGATGAAGTTTGTAGATTGTAGAATCATTTCTACAGTACATGGGTAAGTGTTCTTAATACTTAAGTTCAACTTGAAATCTCTGGTGTGAACAAAAGGTAGCCTTTGAATCCTCAAATTCTAAGGACCTTAGACAATGTAACCATGAACAATTACATGGGTAGTGAGTTCTATTAGATAACTTAGAGTCTTGGAACAAAATGCAGAACATCCTTTAGCCCTCAAGGACCAATGTTCCCTTTATTGAATCATTACCTCTTTAATTGATCAATTGCTTAAATACTGTAAGTGTTCCTGATCTTTGAATGATGGATAATTTAGGGTCACCTATAGTCTATAAGTCTATAAGTCTATAGTCTATAAGAATAACTAAATTAGGGCTCTTCAAGACCAGGGCCTGATTTAGATTAGTCTTTTTTTCTAGTAGTGGGAGGTGGTCATAAATTAATATTTATATCCCATTATTCTTAGCAGCTACTGCTTGCTCTTAAAACTGTCAATATGCTAGAAGATGTAGGATTGATGTGACTTTGAAATCTTTTGAACCTAACCTGGAGAGTGCACAGCACATACTGTAGAAGTATAGATGAGTGACTGCTTAAGAATTGTGATATTTTTCCTAGTATTTTGATTATATATATATAATAAATGACCTTTTTGAAGTAAATACTGGATAAACCAAGTATGACCCACCAAAGCAAAAGAGTCTGACACCCCTGGCTTCGGTAGACAAAATAAAGGACTGACTCAAAACTAGTAGTAGCAGTAAAAGGCTCTTCTCATACTGCTTGTGCTGACTTTTTTAAAGTTGCTTGTTGTTGCTGCTGCTGTTCTGTGTTTGTTTTGGTGATTCCTTAATGTCTTTGTATCGGAGCATACATGTAAATAAGTATTTCATTGCACTTGTGCATATGACAAAATAAACTGAACTGAAAATTATATTACTGTATTTATGACTAAGCCTATAAGTACAATCAATTAGAGGATCAAAGCTAAGCACTAATGCTGTGCAGTTTTGCTGCTGTTTCTATGAAGTGGATTTCATATTTGTAAGCTTCATTACAAAGCTAATGCAGTCATGAAAGACACATTCTGGTGAACTCAGGGAGTGTTACTGTCTATTTCTCTCCACTGTTCTGCCTTTGGGAAAGCTGACAAAACTCTGGCCAGGTTCCAACTCCTTTCTAGCCATGAAAGATTGCTCCTGTGTAAAACACTGACAACCAACCAATAACAGAAAGATATTGGCGACCCAGGTTAAGGGCTGTGAGAGACAGCGGGTATACATTTTCCAGTTCCCTGTCTTACATTGACAAATGGTCTGGGCAGTAAAATCGGCATTTTACTGGAAAGATTCAAGTGAAATACCCGGCTCTAGAGTTCAACAGCAGTGTCTCACCTGGAATTTGAACCCACAACCGTCCATGTTCAAGTCCCTAGCCACTGCTCCACACTATTGGCCTGTACCATGATGTGTTCCACTGATTATTGAAAGAGGGCCTTGGGCCAGTTTCTCCAGTACCGGCCTAAGAGTGAGCTGAATTGTGTATGCTGTTATAATAAAACAGTTTCTTGGCTTAGTGTACATAACAGTGTTAACATAAGCGTGAGTGTGGCTAGACTTTGCAGGAAAACGATGTTGCTGCAGCAGGTGTTGTTGGTGACCCACTAGATATTTTCCCCTTAATGAAACTAAATATCATTTTTTACTCCATCACTGATCTGCTGGTGTATGAAATGGGTCCTCTCCTATACTGTATGTGAAAGCATTTCAAGATCCTTTGGGATGAAAACTGCTGTACTCTACAGCTGTAAGTTATCATGTTATCATAATTTCAATGAAGGATATTACCATATAATGTGAAATAAAAAAGCACGTTAAGATAATGGAGATGGACAGAGGCCCAAAAGTACAGTACAGTACATGCCACAATGGTGTACTCACTCTTAGTAACTCAATATGGAAAAAAGATACTCTTAACATTGACCTATTAGTATTATAAGTGACAAAATCAATGATGGTTAAAGATGTATTAAAGTGAGAGAAGAGCTAATGATGCCAAAATTAAAATCCAGGAGGGATGTCCTCTTATCATCTTTTTTTTTTCTGTAAACCACTACAAGAGAAAGTGTATTGTGGATTCATATGAAATCTTTCAAAACTCTGGGTAGGGAGATTGCTGTATGTGTGAAGCCATTTCTGCTACGTTAAGGCAAATCTCCAAAAAAAAAAGTCAGGAACAGCTTCTTGTCTGTGTCAGCATCCCCTGGCATCCAGGGTGCAGAGGTTGAAGGAAGCTTTTCAAAGTGCCTCTAATACCGCAAGTATTAAAATAACTCTTTAGGTGCTGTTTGACTCAGAACACCTGCACTGGAAAGGATAAGCTCTGTATTACAGTAAGTTTTTTTTTTCTCTGCTCAGCTCCCTACTTTATCCTTCGCTTGTGATGTTTTTTATTCCTTTTTGTCCCGATGCCCAGTGCTCTGAGGAAAGGCTGCCGGTGCCTGGAGATAGACTGTTGGGATGGGCCTGATCTGGAACCTGTCGTCTACCACGGTTACACTCTGACAAGCAAAATCCTGTTCCGGGACGTCATTGTAACGATAGAGCACCATGCGTTTGAGGTAGGGGGCGGCATGCCTTTGTCTTACCGCATACAGAGAGAGGAGCACTGTGGACTTGCAGCATGCTGTATTTGCTCTGCAGGTGTCTGACTAGCAATTGCCTGCTGTCTCCTGATTATAACTACTTTTTTTCCCCAAAAAATTTCATTATCTCCTGTCTGATCGTTGCACAGATTACTTTCATGGTAAAAAAAAGATGAGACATGCATGGAATTTAGAGGATTTTTTTTTATCCTGCTATGTTTTATTTTGCCCCAAAGTAAATCTGTTCAAGGAAATTAAACCGTGTGGGTGTCAGTGAGGGGGGGTGGGGGAGGGCAGCTGAAGCATGTGTTGTTGAATGCCTTTTTTTTTAAGATTCCTTGTGGATTTATGCAATTATTTCCAAATCAAGCAAATCTTGGTTATTTTTCTGTGTGTTAGACCAATTTGGAAACATCAGTCCTTGACTGCCAACTTATACCAGCAAACAAGAGGTGCAGAAATCCTGTCCTCACAGGCAGGCACTCCCTCTCCCCTTCATTCCACATAGTGAAGACAGCAGCTAGGTTGATGCAGGGAGAACAGATGCGGTTCTTTCTGACTATGCAGCATCACTGGCCTCTGCAGCTCACAGAGCACTGACCAGGTAATTGGGGACAGGTTGAGGATGCATCTGGTGTTACAGTACCAGCATCCAGCCACCAGAGGGCACCCATACCGCCACGGCCTACCTCATCTACTCAGAGGTGTAGAGCTGCCAGGCTTCATTAGCCAATCCCAGTACTCTTTCATCACCACGCCTTCCATCTCCAGCCTACTTAAACCCTGTGCTCGGTGCCAATCTTGCTCAGTATTGGGTCTCACTTGGTGAGCTACACAGTTGATACCCCAGCAAGTCTCCCTCGACTGCTTCTTGGTTTATGGACTTTGGGATTGTCTTTTGACCATGATTTCTGGGTCTTGTCTTGGGTATTGTATGATTTGTCTCTCTTCTGGCTTTTGACCTTTTTGCTAGTCTTTAGACCTTGTATTTGGATTTCACTAATCATCCTGTTAATGTTTTCCTTGTCACCTGCATAGTGTCTATCACTTTCTGACTAGCTGGTCTCCAGCATAATGTCTGGTTGACTCAAGTCCTTTCTTTATTCTTGAGGAATCTACTGGAAAAAAAAATCTTGTCATAGATGGCTAATGACATTGAGTGGCAGTGTGGAGATCTAGAGAAATGTGGAAGATATATTCTGAAACAACCAGATGCATCATAGGGCTGAAGAGAATGTCCTGCATTTCCTGGCTGAAGGAATTACAAGAGAAGCTGATTGTAAATTCATTTTTATTTCCCCAAAAAATCTGGGTAGGGGATTGTTTGAGGCCAATTCTGTCATGTTCTGCTACTGTTTTCATTAGAGAAGATGTGCAATATCAGATGTGTTTTTTTAAATCTTATATAGAAAATTATGAAGAGATAGCCCTTATACAAGTATATCCTTAAAGATATTAAAGTCAACCTGGCAGACTTCTTGAGAGCCAACAGTGAACCATGAGCCAGAGGACACAAGTGAAAACTGTTAGTGCATTTAAAAGTGAGAACGGGAGGCACTTCTATACACAAAGGGTTGTGGGATATCCTGGCTTCTTTCAGGAAAGAAAGGCTGAGATCCCAATTGGGTTCTAACTATCAAAAGGGCTAGATGGGTCAAATGGACTCCTCTCGGTTGTAGCGTTTCTTCTGTTCTTGTGTGATATGAACTAGTGATCTTAGGTGCCTTCACAGGCTGAGCCACATTTGATACTAATGACCTGCATTTTAAAAAGATAACTAAGCATATGTGGTTCTAGAAGAACCTTAAATAAAGACAAGTTAGGGCAGCAGGGTAGCTCAGTGGTTGGCATTGCCCCCTTGCTCCTGTAGGGACCCTAGGTGCCATCTGTGTGGAGATCGCACTGTATGACCTCCCAATGTTTGTGCGTTTTCTCTGGGCACTCTGGTTTCCTCCTACAGCCCAAAGTCAACCTGTATTGGATAATAGTTAGGAGATGGATGAAAAACGAAGCTAAAGACTGTTCTTTTAATTAAGATCTCAGTAGATAAACCTAACCACATAATGCATAAAATTGGTAGATGGAAATCGAGGAGCTTTTGACATTATCCTACCGATCTCAGTATCTCACTTGAAGAGGAGTTCAGAAACATTATAAAAAAATAGGTCATAATTAAGTAATCTGATCATTGTGTGGTTTTATTGCTTCCAGAATATCATAGTCAATGATAAATGTACTGAAAAGTTTGTTTTGTTAAACTGTAATCAACATTGTTTTGATATCATTAGGGAAGGTGTACAGTATCAGTTGCTATGCTGAAAAATAGTTGTAATGCATCTAGCAATTTCAGTAGGTCCTCATTAAATTTTAGGCAAACTGAGGCTAGCAGCAGTGGACACAGTGCAAATGAGAGAAACACTTGATGAAGGTCACCTTGGACAGACTTCCACTACCACAGTGGTCCTATGCTGTGGCACCCTTCTCTACAGACCTCCTGGTAGGAGGGCTGGGGCACAAAGAATGCTATTGTGAGGGGTTATTACAGATGCAAAATAAGCACTCGCTCCACATGCCAGCACCACTGCTCCTGTGAGTCCTTAAATCTAGTGGGAGGATGACCGCTACAATATAAAATGGCCATATTACAGCTGTAATAATGGAATATACTGTAATTGATATCTGTTGGAACTTACCACTTGTTTCACTTTGGTGAAATAAGTAAGCTTTCACAAAACCGAGACTTTCACTTCAATGTTCTTTTTCCAGTGGGAAAATCAATACTGGCACTCAGACAGATCTGTCTTCAGCATGGCCTGGCCATCAAGACCGCTCTGCCTCAACATTGTTTTATTTGAAAACTGACAGGATATGGACATACTCCGTGTCACCTGACTTTCTTTCATATAATCCTCTTACCTGTAAGTCCCAGAGAGGGCTGAGCTGGGCGGACCCCTGCGAAAAAAGATTGAACTCGGCCTCCTCGGGGCCATTAGCCCTACTCCTTTCGGAGCAGGGAAAGACTAAAGCCAAGAACTGCACACCCCAGAGCTGACCGTGATCTACAAAACCCGATTCGTGCTTACAGCTCTGGAAAATACCAGTTCCTTCTACAAGCAAACGCCAGTATCGCTGAGATAAGTGACATTCTGTACAAGCAACAGTGGCTCACGTACAGAAAGCCAAGGGACAAGGGAGCCATTGTGAGAACCCATGTGAACAACATAAATTAGTATGCGCATCCTCTTAGGAAGCACGGTTTCACATGCAAATACACCATAGACAAGCCGTTATTTAATGTAAGTGAATTGATTTATAAACGTATTGAATTACAGGAGGCACAGTGGCAACCATTGGTCCCTTGCAACTCTGGGGCCCTGAGGTACTGTGTGTGTGTGTGGAGTTTATATGTTGTCCCTGTGTTTGCACGGTTACCACTTGGAGCGCTGTTTTACTCCCACATGTCAAAGACATACTGGTTTGAGTAATTGGCTTCTGGGAAAATTGGCTTTGGTGAGTTCCTGTGCCTGTGTGTTCCCTGTGGTGGACTGGTATTCTGTCCAGGGTGTTTCCGTCCTTATGCCTGTTTCTTGCTGGGATAGGCTCCGGCTTCCCCCTGACGCTGTATTGGATAAAGTGGTTAGAATATAGATGGATGTATTGAAGTGTTCTAGATAGAATAACCATTAATTGAAGGGATTTTAAAAGGATTTTTGAGGAACATTTTAACACTACTGTAGGTTGAAAATTAAAACTGCATGAACTGTTCAGTCGGGTGATTTTTAGCAAAATCTGTATTCTGGTAATTCTTATTCTGAGAACTTCCTTCTGCTCTTGCACGTACCTTGGAAAGCTACAGTGACATGTGCAATTATATGAATTGCAGGACTGCCTGCCTCAGTCCACTTGCATTATGAGTTCGCAAATTCCTATTAGACTCACAAGTCTGCTGAAATTTTCTTTTCCAAAGCCTTGAAGAAGACATGACTGCTCTACAAGATTTGCCTCCAAGCAGATTTCAGCTGTGGCTTATGTACAGTAGTTTTAAGATAGTCCACCATGCTTCACACTATTCTGTTTTCTCTGTGCTAGTGAAATTCTAGTAACACTTCCCAAAACATTATACAGCTTGTAGGCTTTCATTCATCAGCACTTAAACAGAAAATTTAAAAGAAGCTATTAAAATTAACCAGCCAATTAATCAATTAATGAGCCAGTCTCTCAAATGAAATGCAGGCGCAAATTAAATCAAGACGGACTCGCTTGCACATAGGGAATTGCACATTTCTGGCTTAATGCCAGCTTTCTGTTTACCACTAAGTGCCTTTTTTCTGTTTCTTACAAAAAAAACGAGAGCAAGAATGGAACTACACCACACCCAGTTGAGTGAAAGTACAGCATGAAAAAATGCACTAGAAAATCAAAGAAGAAAATAGATGAAGTGGAACACTTAATTAGTCAAGCTAATATTGATGTTTTCATGAGGCAATTAAGGAAATAAGCCTCTGCATGTGGAAGTGCCAATATTGAATGGGGGTGGCCAGGATCAAATACTAAGAATAAAAAGGCAAACAAAAGCTGAGATAAACTTCACGACTGAGCACACATAGCAGATGACGTTTTGAGCAAACAAAATGGGGAAACTCAGTGAAGAAGCTACTTATTGGGGGAAAAAGAACAGGGTGTTTATGTTGACACATTATTTATATCCTCTAGACAATGTAGTGAAGGCAAACAAAAAATGCAAGGGTATACAGTCAGAAGCATAGAATTCAAATTGACGGATGTTACGTGAAATCGTAAAATAAACTAGCAAAGCCTCGTTTAGAGTTTTAAGTGTTTTGGTCACCACATTATAGACCAAATAACGCTACTCAGGAATCCATCCAGTGAAGAGCATCCTGATTCCTTCTAGGACATAAGGGAATGTCCTGCACTGACAAGCTGAAGGAATTAAACCTTTCTCCTCTCAAAAAGCGGGGATTACAAAGGGACTTGATACAAGTATTCAAAATCCTTAAAGGCACTAATTTAGACAGCCCACAGGAGATCTTCCAAACAGAACACTTTACACAGAGTTGTCCGAGTATGAAACAAGCTACCCAGACATGTTGTTGAAGCTGATACCGTTGTTTCTTTTGAGAACCCCGTTTCAATTAACGACTGACTACCAGACAGACGAGATGGGTCCAATGGCCTTGTTCTGTAACCATTAGTATTTTCTTATTGCTGGCATGAAGAAGGGAAGGGAGCAGAGCCAATGATACAATATTCCAAAGGGATAAATTGTCATAGGCGGGCCGAAGTTATCCTTGCATAATACTTGTATTGGTGGTGGTGGAAGGGAGTCCCCATTACCTGTAAAGTGCTTTGAGTGGAGTGTCCAGAAAAGCACTATTTAAGTGTAATAAATTATTATTATTATTAAACTAAGACCCCAGGAAACAGGAGTCAGATGCCTTTATTCAGCTATTGTGCCAGGATGGAAGGTTATAAGACTTTTTATTTGTTAAAAAGCAATGGGGGAGTTTAGTATAATTCAGATTTTGTGACACCACATTGCTGTAAATGGAGGGTGGCATAGTGCTAAGGTTAAGGCTTTAGACTTATAAAAGAGGTTATATTCAAGTCCCCACTGCAGACAGTGTTATTGTGCACCTAAATGAAGTCATACTGTAGTTGCCACAGTTGCTCAAGTCCATTCAGCTGTATAAATGGGCCTAGCATTGCTGGGAGGGGTTACTGTTACGACCACTGTCTGTAGTCCGTGTCGGGTTTTGGTGCAGACCCTTACTGTGATGCAGTAAGAGCTGGAGAAACTAGGAGGCGTGGTATGGGAAAACACACAGAGGAGACAGTGAACAGGGGAGACAAAGAATGGCGTCCAAATCCAAGCAGGTCCAAAGGCAGGTCAGGGCACAGTCCAGGGGTCCATCAATAATTAATCCATCCTGGGATACATCAAGGTTAAAATCCCCAGGAAGGGGGAAAACACGAACACAGGCAAAACATGGAGGTCCTAGTGTGTTGAGCCCCGAGGACTGGAGGAGCTAAACTTTAAATAGCAGTACACATACTGTAACTGGGTACAGCTAGGGAGCTTAGCAACAATCACAGGACTAATATCTGGAGAAGTGGAGGGCCCTCTAGGGCAGGAATGTGGGGTGTGACCGTTATCCGGTTGCTGCTGGAAGAGGTGTTAGTGGGGTCAGCAGGGGGTGCTCACCCTGCGGCTCATGTGGGTCCTAATGCCCCAGTGTAGTAATGGGGACACTTTGCTGTAAAACCGAGGTCCTGACTCTCTGTGGTCATTACAAATCCCAGGGTGTTTCTCGAAAAGAGTAGGGGTGTACCCCGGCATCCTGGCCAAATTTCCCCATCGGCCTTTATCAATCATGGCCTCCTAACAATCCCCCTCTATAAATTGGCTTCATTACTCTGCTCTCCTCCCCACTGATCGCTAATGTGTGGTGAGCGTTCTGGCGCACTATGGCTGCCGTCGCATCATCCAGGTGGATGCTGCACATTGGTGGTGGTGGAAGGGAGTCCCCATTACCTGTAAAGCGCTTTGAGTGGAGTGTCCAGAAAAGCGCTATATAAGTGTAAGCAATTATTATTATTATTATTAGGGATAACCCTGTAATGGACTGGTGTCCTATCCAGGGGGAGTCGTATGCTTTCTTGTCCACTTAACAGTACAGATATTGGGATGAACTGCCCTAACTCTTGAATTTACTTTTCCATTTCGTGACTTAATGGTTGAGACACTGCTACTGTATTTTTTTTTGCTTTGGATGGTTTGAATTGAAAAACAAGTTCCTGTAGTCACATGGCATTTAAAAAAGTTATTATGAGCTTGATTGATATTCATATTTATACTGTGACAGTCCAGTGCAGTACCAAGTAATTACTGAGCAGTTACACAGCTAGTTGTCTCATTTGGTGCTAAAATCCAATTTGAAAGGTAGAATATCTATCAATTGGCTTAAAAAGAGCCTCCGGTTTCTTCCACATAAGCTTAATTGAGTCCAAAACATCAGACCTATAGTACAGTATGATGGTGATAATGTTAAAGAGCTGAAGTGTGTTCTGTGTTCTGAAATGTATATTTCCTTTTTAGAAACAAAACATCTTGCTATGTTTTGTGCTTTAGAGCTCATAATGAGCTACATATCAAAGTATTTTGAAATGGAACTATCAATTTTAAATTATATACACTCTATATTTTATATATTTTAAGCTCACAGAGTACTATTGGATAACTGTAATGAGTATCAGCATTAAAGTCTGTTCAGTACCAAGATTCAGACGAGACTTACTGACTGTACAATCTGCAGGTCTTCCCCTACCCTGTGATCCTTTCCCTGGAGAACCACTGTACACCTCCCCAGCAGGAGATAATGGCTCGCTACCTCAGAGGAATCCTGGGAAACAGACTGCTGGACATGACTGTCAACAACAACTTCTCCAGAGAGCTGCCCTCCCCCAACGTGAGTCTCTCCCCACCTGCCCCCCAGTTGTTCATGTCTTCCTCTTCTTCGTTTTAGAGAACCTTCGATTTGTCTTCACTTTGTATACAACATTGTGAGAATCCTGCAAGTAAGGCAGATTTTAGGGTTATCTGTTCAAAAAAAGTTTTTTTTTTTCCCAACTTCTGATTTAAAATACAATCATGGGTAAAATCAGAGGGCTTTACTGTGGTGACACATAACGAAAAAGATTTCCTTCTTCGATTAAATGAAATATGGAACATAGATATAGTATATCTCATTTTTATAAAAAGGAGGAGTGATAGTATCTAGCATTATTGTTGTTCAGTCGTGGTTCCTTGCGGAATATTTATTTTAGCTCTGAAAATGTAGTGCTTGGAGATATTAAAGTTTGAATGCATAAGGCAAGCGATACCATGTCTACAGAAAGACGTGGGCAGCTATGATGTCTTGGTGCTTTATTGTGGTTTTGTTTTGTGTGGTGTTATTAAAGTGTTTTATTCTAATACTATGAATGTTTCAAAATCTATTTTTGATCTCTTATGACTTACAGTGTAGTTTGTTTCTTCCTCCTCTGATACTCGTGGAAGTTTAATTTTATTTTATCGACTTGGGGAATTTCTTTCCCCATTCTTTTACTGTGTACAATTCCGCAGATTGAGCGGCACTGCCCAGGTTCAGCACTTACTGCATGTAATCTCTTAGTGCTGAGCTGCAGATAGGGTGCCTTGACAACATTGTAGAACTCGGACCCCTAGCAGCTTTTATGAGCATCTCTTTGGTATTTTGAGAGTAACAGATAAAAACGCACAAAAGGGAGAAGGGAATTCTGCTCCTTGTGTTTCACTGGTGGCTATTTCTCAATTTACAATAGGTTTAAATTGAGTGGGTCCTTCAGATGTTATGAAGAGGTGCCCCTCGAGGCTCTTTGGAATTACTGTTCTATACCCACCACTTTGACACCCATGCACTGAGGCCTGAAGCTTCTGCTGCTTATTTGAAAGGAATGCCTTCTGCTCCTGCTCCTTTACGTAGCTGATACTTGGCATCTGTAACGAACAGTTCTTTCCGGACCCTATGCGGACGACACAATCCGAAGAAGTGGGGGAAACACTAGGAAAACGGGGCTGAAAACAGGGGGGCGTGTCCAAAGTGCGCTGGTGCACGGGGGAGGTGTGGCCGAGGCAAACAATCCAAAAGAGTAATCCTTAGAGGGTATCCAAAAACACAAGAGTAAGTCCAAAGCCAGGAGATCCATCAAAACAAGGAATTAAAAACCATGAACCGGGTCGGAACCGGTGGATAGGGAACGGGAACGGAGATTAAAACCTTAACGGGACCAGGCGCTTCCAGGTCCCGGACTCGCACGGTGCAGAAACCAGATGCAGAGCCAGGATGAGCATCAGCGCCTGGCTTTTAAGGTGGGCTGGGTAAAAGGGATCAGGTGCACAGAATTAAATCTAAAGTGAAAGGGCTGGAGAACCCTTAAGGAGGGGGGACTATGATCGTGACAGCATCTCCTGTTCAAGGGCTAGTATTGTCTTTCGTCTCCTGATTTTTTTTTTTTTAAAAGTGCAGCCAGTTTGGATGAAGGTGACCAAAACACATCAAGGTGTACTGCCATGTTTGACACTACTGTACTGTACATAAACAGTATACTGTATGTGCAGATGCCTATTTGTATCCCTGTGTTTGGGGTGCAGCTGTTAGCCTTGCTGCCTCACAGCACTGGGCTCTGGGTTCAATATTGGATCGGGGTGCAATCTGTGTGGAGTTTGGATGTTCTCCCCACGTTCACATGGGTGTCATCCCTGTGCTCTGATTTCTTACCCCAGTCGAAAGGCATACTGGCTTCTGGGAAAATTAGCCCCGGTGTGGGTTTGTGTGTCTGTGCTTGTCTGTGTGTGCTCTTGCTCCAGGTCCCCTGTGACCCTGAATTGGATGAAGCAGTTAGGAAATGGATGAATTGATGGATGTTTGTGGGAACTTCCCATTGATCTACATGGCAAGGACAGCCCGAAATTGTGTATTTGTCAGGCATGTCATTTTAAGAATCCTTACACTTATATAGTGCTTTTCTGGACACTATGTGATGGCAGCCATAGTGCTCCAGTACACTCACCACCCACCAGCTTTCAGTGGGAAGGAGAACAGAGTGGTGAAGCTAGTTCAGAGATGGAGATTATTAGGCAGCCATTATTGGTAAAGGCCAATGGGACATTTGGCCAGGATGCTGGGGTAACACCCCTACTCTTTTTGAGAAGCACCTTGGAATTTCGAATGACTACAGAGAGTCAGGACCATGGTTTTATGCATCATCCAAAGGATGGCACCTTTTTACAACATGTCTCTGTCGCTATACTAGCGCATTAGGACCTACATAGACTGCAGGGTGAGCACCTCCTACTGGCCCCTCTAAGGTACTGGCCAGGCTCCCAACAGCTTATCTTCAGTAGGTTGGGTTGCCAGTTGTGAGTTGCAGGTTAATATGACTGCAGTTTAGGGAATGACACTAATAGACTGAAAAAAAACTGAACCTTTTCAGTCTTGAACAGAGAAGACTTTGAGGGAATCTGGTATTAGTGATATTTAAAATCCTCAATCCACCCAGAGCACTTCTTCAGGATGAGCATTTAAAACCAAAGCAGGAGCAGGTCTTTACCCAACAAGTTGTACAACTGTTCTCACAATGGTTTCATTTAGCTTATGTCTGGTATAAAGTGATTCACAATAACAGCTGGTGTTGAAACAGGTACTCTGATGACCCTTTTGTATATACTGTACACGGAAGAACTTCTCAGTATTTTTCTTTCCATTGTTTTTTTCCATGTCTTCAGGCCCCATGTGCCACCTGAAGAAAGGTTGGTCTGTCACAAGCATAGCTTTAAAATAGGCACAGAAGGCAGCTTTGTATGCAGCACAGCAATTCCAGTGAGGCTGAGCCTTAACACAGAAGACGGTTTTCTTTTTTTTTTCTTTAGCTTGACCTTCAGAAGGTGGGGAAAAATAAAATATCTCTGCAAGATAGCCTAATGTCCGACATTATGTGGAACACACATTAGTAAAACAAAATCAAGACTTTACTTACTGTGAGTGGAAGCCAGTGTAGAGCATGAGAGTGAGACGTCCTTTTTTGTTTTAAATCTGTTTCTCAATCTGTCATCTTCTGCACTAGCTGTAACTTTGACAAAGCACAAGATATTCCAATTGAATTTTTAATCTTCAAAATCTCTCAGAAGTTTTTGTCTTTGTCTACAATAATAATGGAGTATTTGTTTTCAATTTAGCCATCAACTGGAATGAGAAAAAGGTGTAATTCACAAAATACTAACAAAAAGGTCATTAACTTTTAAGGTTAACTAGAAGTACTGTATAAGTGTTAGAATTAAATACCTGAATATATTTTGAATGATTAAACCTAGGTTTTAGGTTTCAAAACTTATAAGTTGTTTCTGTTTCCTAAATAAATACCTCTTATATGTTGTTGAGGTAGAGAGCAGCTTGTTATTGACAGTATAACGAACAGTTCTTTCCGGACCCTATGCGGACGACACAGTCCGACGGAGTGGGGAAACACTGGGGAAACGTCATGCAGGAATACGGGGCTGAAGACAAGGGGGCGTGTCCAAGGTGCGCTGGTGCACGGGGGAGGTGTGGCCGAGGCGAACAATCCGAGAGAGTAGTCCTTAGGGGAAAATCCAAAACGCAAGGGTAAGTCCAAAACCAGGAGATCCATCAGAACAGAGAATTAAAAACTACGAAGGCCGGGTCGGAACCGGCGGACGGGGAACGGGAACGGGAACAGAGGTTAAAACCTTAACGGGACCAGGCGCTTCCAGGTCCCAGACTCGCACGATATGGAAATCAGAGCAGAGCCCGGATGAGCGTCAGCGCCTGGCTTTTAAGGTGGGCTGGGAATGAGGAACAGGTGCAGAGAATAAAGTCTTAGTGAAAGGGCTGGAGCACCCTTAAGGAGGGGGGACTATAATCGTGACAGACAGCATATTTCATATTTGATCAGACACTTTTTTGTGTGTCTCCGGTAAAGTAAAACAGGAAAATAAATTCCTGTTCCTCTGGCTCAAATGAACATCTAACACCAGTATTTTTTTGATCCTGAAGGGATGCAGTCCACCTGGTGTTACAGGTAATTTTTATCCTATGATATTGATTCAAATTAAGTGGAATGAAAACCACAAGACTCAGTGACCTTCCAGGAACAGGAATGAACACTAATGCCCTACACTGACACAATACAGGAACTAAATATTTTCGGTCTTAAACAGAGATATGACTGCAAGAAAACCCGATCCACAAATTCCTTGACAGTCAAAACACTGGACATTTCCAGAATCAACAAATTTGGAAACTGAAAATTAGAGGCACTTCTTTACACTAGGGGTTGTGGGAGTATGGAACAAGCTACTCACTGATATTGATTAAGCTGATGTCCTGTCTTCCAGTAGAAAGTGGCTGGATGAGATGCTTAATTAGCTACTAAAAACCAAACAAGCTGTAATGTAATTTTCAGCACTGCAGATTAATCTTTTAGGGCTTCATTTAGCTGGTTTAGGAAATAATCCATAGTTTGCCTAGTTCTCTTATACTGAAATCCATACATTTAAGTCTCATAATCAGTGTAAACCAAGTAATGCAGTAAGAAGGACAGTGCTGAGTTTGGCTTCCTATTTAAGTACTTTGATTTCACCCTTAATCATTAAATGCATTTAAATCTAGCCATCCCACATAGAGGAATGTAATGAACAGACAGATTCATGAATGCACAATGACAGCTGCACAGGAGCATGCAGTTGGATCTATTGGTACTTTATGTAATGGCCTGAACCTGCAGGGGGAAAGACTCCCATGTTGTTGGTCATAAAGGTGTTCCATTTCCATCTCCCGTTATACCAGTGAGAGGCACAAAGGAATAGACAGAAGAGCTGGACCTAAGAGTATTTAAAATAAGTTCTGCTTTTCTTTGATGGTGGGATGAAATGTGTATGCTCCCCCTTCTGATGATCAATCACAAGCTTGGCTCCAGACCACTTTCTAGTGACAGATGCTCAAGGTGCTTATGGCATTCTATGTGGGGGCGAGATCACCCTGATAATGGTTTCATTTTGAACATGACATCTTTCATTCAGACCTTGTTTGTAGTCTTAGAAACTTGCTCCATACTTGGTCTTTAAGGCAAATGAACCCCAGCGTGTAACTGACAAGCACAGGGACAACTGCTTCTTGCATAACTGGTAATTAGATTCAATAATATTCTCCCATTCCTTCTTATCTCCTCCTACCTCCCTCAGTGCCCTTGCAGCTGCCTTTGGCTCTACTGCACAAGGGGTGGTCCTGGCTTCAATGTGTACAGAACTAGGCTGTTGTCTTTCAACCGAGTATCTTGAATAGCTGCTATCTCTTTGCCTTCCTGGAATACTGTATGATTCATTATGTTCTGAGGTGTTGTCTTCATTTTTTTTTAATTCTAGCATGCTGGCATGTGTAACAAGTCAACAATCTCCCCTTGCGAGGAAGATTTTCTATGCTTTCAAATATTGTGTTTATGTCTAGCAGTAGAAAAGACCAATAAAACCGAAAAAAACAACAAATCAACAATACAAAAACACAGGTCAAACCTCTACATCATATTGAAAGGGTATTATTTTCATTGTGAGAGGTATCTCAATGGCTTTGTGAAACTCTATTCATCTGGGGCAAAGACAGATTTGAAAGGCTGTAATTTTTTACTCCAAACAGCTTATCTCAGCTCTGTAAGTAAGTTGTCTCGATGGGTAGTATTTAAATTGTTGATCTTGTTTAGAGGAGAAAAACCTCTGTGTTACATTGAACGCATTGGTGCTCTTCAATAAAAGCGAAGCAGGACTCTTCAAAAACAGAAAACCTCTGAAGAAGTGAAGGTCACATGTACTGTGTGACGTTTAATTGAAATTCCTCTTGTTGTGATGAAACCATGTACTTTTTCCCATTGTTCACATGATTCATTAAAAAACGGCTTGGCTGGTGTTCAGATCTTCTAGGGAAGGTCCTTAATTATTAATACATGAGGTCTTGATCATGTAGTACCTCTCAACGGTACAGTAAATATGCTCTTGGTAAGACCATAGGCAGGCAGGTTGGCTGTTTTTCTGACCGAAAGCTGAGAGTTTGCAGTGTCAGGTTGCTTTTGCTATGCTTTCCTATTTTCTTCAGAAAATTCCCAGGTTCTTTTAAGGTAATAGAAATGTTTCTGGTAATCCAGATTTGGCAGCAGCATTGTCTATTTTCACAACTAATTATTGTTACAAAGCTTCCATGAATGATTAATTAAATAGATGCATATGCAATATTTAGGACATTAATTCAGAAACAGACTGTGAAAGAAAACCCCCATATGCGTAGGCTGCAAAGGAACAAGTAATAGGTTTATTCCATCCTGAAAAAAAGAGAACACAAAGTTTTGGCCGTGGAGCCTTCTTGAAGTGTGAGGATAATTAAATAATTACATTAATTTAAGAAAGTTAATTTAAGAGTGGGTGGGGGCACTATGCTGTAAAAAGGAGCCATTCTTTGGATGGGATGTAAAACCGATGTCTTGACTCTCCGTGATCATTAAAAATCCCAGGGTGTTTCTCAAAGAGTAGAGGTGTTACCCCCATGTCTTGGCCAAATTTCTCCCCGTCTTTTAACAATCATGGCCTCCTAATAATCCCCATCTATGAATTGGCTTCATCACTCTGTTCTCCTCCCCACTGATAGCTGGTGTATCGTGAGTATGTGCCAGGTGGGGCTACACATTGGTGGTGGGAAAGGAGATTCCAAATTACCCGTAAAGCCTTTGAAAGGAGTATCCATCATTCCGTTAACTTATTAGAGTGCTTTTCTGATGTAAATGATGATAAAGGTTATTATTAGTAGTAGAAGTATTAATTTAATAATAATACAGCTCTTCCAGAGCCAATCTGCCAGCCACAGTATCTAACTTACATGATGCCCTTTAAAAACCAACATCAAGATTGTCCATGACTGACCGAGTGTTTCATATCAGTCATCAAACACCTATTAATCATTTAAGCAGCATTGATAAATGGCCCAGAACACAAAACTCTCCCGAATAGGGACAATGTACAGTATGTTGGAATAAGAACTATTTCTAAAAAATATAATTTGTTCTGGATGCAGAAATTTCAACACTGTACTATGAGTGGCCAAAACTAAAGAACTCTGAATTCCTTTTGTATCTTGTATCTGTGTATTCGATAGAATAGCGAGTCCTTTATTGCAACCTGCCTCAAATCTGATGAAGCATAGTGCTTTGTGATGATTATGTAGTATTTTGAGAATGCTAAAAAAATAGTTCTTTAGTCTAAAATTGTCAATGGCCCTAGGACACAGTTGCATTAATATTCATCCTGTGTTCAGTGCAGTCTGCCAAATGTACTTAGCTGAGAAGCTAGGCAAGCCCACTCAAGACTAGAAAGTGACTTGACTTGGCAGGAAAACCCTATATTTACTTAGCACATTTATTCCACCCACACAATTCTTCTGTCCAATTACGAGCAAACCCAGTAAAGAAAAAGATGAAAAAAACATAATGTTGTGGGATTTTTATTTATTTTTTAAAAATTGTTCTTAGACAATAAAGGCCACAATTTAGTGTTCCGCAATAATGGAGTGTGAGCATACACTTTAGTGACAGTCAGAGCTATCAGTCTCGCCTTTTTTTATGGCATAGAGTGCTTTTTTTCTTCCTAGTTGATCAAAACATTCTTATTTTATTATTGTTGAGTTAATTTTGTTTCCATTTATTGTTAAATGATGTATTGTAATTCTAGAACAGTACAGCTTCCAGAATAAATTCAGCATTCTGGCAGTATTGGAACCCCCCATTGTTTAATACCTGTATATCAAATACAAGATTCTGCTTGAAAGTGTAAGTCACTTTTTTTTCCCCAGATGAAGGCCATTGAGATTGTTTAGATCCATAATCTTCTAAATTGTGAACTGCAGCAGTCTACCAAGAGGGATATTTGAAACATGTATTTCTCTTCCTTGGTGTTGAAAGGAACAGGTTTTAAGACACTTTCTGCACAAGACAAGACCTCAAGACAACACTCATAAGGATTTAATTGGTTTGGTGTCTTGACTGCTGGATTTACTTCATCTGCAGGATCTGAAATACAAGATACTGATAAAGAACAAGAAAATTGGCCTCCTGCAGGACACCGTTCTGAGGACAGGAACAGACAGGCATGGGGAGGTTGGAGAGTGTGAGGAGAGTGAAGATGAGGAGTCTGAGGAAGAAACACCTAAGAGAAAAAAGCATTTTTCCAAATCGGAAAAGACGGTAGAAAAGAAAGTAAGTCAGTGACAGAGATAGACAAGTGACAAATACTCAGTTTGTGTAGCTTGTTAACATACAGTATCCAATACTGAACAAGGTGAAAACTGTCACGAACAGTTCTTTCCGGGCTTTATGCAGACGACACAATCCGGAATAGTGAGGAAACAGTGGGGGAAAAGTCATGTAGGAGGAGACGGGAATGGAGACAGGGGGCGTGTCCTTGGTGTGGAGGTGTCCAGGGGAAGTGAGTCCGGGGCGAACAATCCAAGAAGTAGTCCAAACGGGGAATCCAAAACACCAGCATAAGTCCATGACCAGGCGATCCTTCCAGGAGAATAAAAAAGGGAACCGGGTCGGGACTGGCGGGGGGGAACAGGAACAGAAAGTTAAAACCTCAGAATAGGGACCTGAACCTCAGATGAACCTCTCAAACAAATTTGACAATTTTTCAGTCAATCAGTTTTTCGGTTTTGACAGATAAAAGCTTTAGCTCCTACTGTTTCACTATATTGGTAGACAGAACTAAAGAGATTTCTTTCTTTTTTTCTGTATAGAAAGTGAAAGACAGTGAACAGCTAAAGTACAGTAATTCCTAACTTCAGCCTAAGACATATAAAGGTGGTCTTTTTAGATCATGTGTGCACAACTGACTTGGTTTATCTACAAAGTACACATTCTACATTCACCTCCTGGAACACTGCAATCATCTTTTGTCTGCTCGCTTCTTACTCAAGATGTTCATTTTGAAAACAGACGGATGTTCAGCACAATTCTTCTTTCTGGCACTAAGCGGCCCGATCCATTACTGTCACGACTATAGTCCCCCCTCCTTAAGGGTGCTCCAGCCCTTTCACTAAAGATTTCATTCCCTGCACCTGTTTCCCATTCCCTGCCCACCTTAAAAGCCAGGCGCTGACGCTCTTCCGGGCTCTGCATCTGATTTCCATATCGTGCGAGTCCGGGACCAGGAAGCGCCTGGTCCCGTTAAGGTTTTAACCTCCGTTCCCGTTCCTGTTCCCCGTCCGCCGGTTCCGACCCGGCCTTCGTGGTTTTAATTCCGAGTTCTGATGGATCTCCTGGTTTTGGACTTACCTTCGTGTTTTGGATACTCTATGGATTATTCTTTGGGATTGTTCGCCTCGGCCACACCTCCCCGTGCACCAGCGCACCTTGGACACGCCCCCCTGTCTTCAGCCCCGTTTTCCTGCATGACGTTTCCCCAGTGTTCCCCCACTTTGTCGGATTGTGTCGTCCGCATAGGGTCCGGAAAGAACTGTTCGTTACAATTACAACTCCAGTCTGGTTGTGCCTACTGTATGTACCCAAACTTATGGAAAACAATGACTACTCCAGCACTTTCCCTTGTTCACCAGCTCATTTTATTTTTCATTTGCTTCTCCATGTTACATTTTCAAAAATGCAAAATTCTCAGCCAGACAGGCATCCCCACTCCTCCAAAACCATTAAAAACTCTCTTCTACCAACCAGCAGTGTAAAACCTAACACCTCCTCCAGGAATGGAAGAAAACAAACTGTAGAAAGGAGTAGGTGCTTATGACACCTTGGGGCTGAGAAGCATAGTGATCACATCCCTGGTCTCATGATGGGTGGGTTGTGGGTTTGACTCCCTGCTGTGGTACCCTTGAGTGAGGTAGGTACCCCGGTTGTGCAGTCCAACCATCTGTATACGTAGGGACCAGCTTTGTGAGGGAATACTCACTGCAATGGAATGGTGTTCCATCTGGGGTGTGTGGGGGTGGGTCATATGCTCACTAGAACAACCAGGGTAAGCTCTGGCTTGATGAACCACTGTGGCTCAGATACGGAAATTACCAACCCACTCATGACACTTCTTCTCCTTCCATATGCCCATATATCTGGTGAAACTCAATACATACTGTACTGTATGAATGTCCAGCTCACCGGTCAATGTGAGCTATGCTCTTATACGGGTGAAACCATTATCTGTGGCTTTAACTTCGACTATATGTACGCAAAAGAAGAAATCTCTCCACCCCCTCAGCACTGTGAAAAAGTTAATTAATATTCATTCACATAATTTATAGTGACTGCATGCTCTTAACATGCACCATAAACCTTAAACATGTTCCTTGAAAGAAAGATTGATTCCATGCTGAACAGTAAAATAGTAAAAGACCACAAAACTTAATTTTGGCTGCGGAGCTCATTTTTTATTTGACTTTCTTTGCAGCTCACATGCTGACACAGCACCCCACTTGAACCTCGATAGATAGCCCACAGTTCTTAATCATTAAAAGGCCTATTTTATTCCCCCTTTAAAAATATAAATGTGTCACAGCTGAGCTTAGTTACAAGGTGCTGGCTGAATAGTAAATCAGAGTTGTCTTCTGAGTAATTAAGTCAGTTTTTTCAATATCAGTTCAGCCCCATCACCCTTATGCCACAGACTTCAAATCCACTCCAGCTGTCTTTAGTATTAAATGACCCTAGAGCAGATGCCCCAGAGAAACTCCCAACTCTCTCAGCTTCAAAAGAATGAGAGAACTGCTTATACTTCCATTCTCCTTCCTCACTCCAATCCAGCTTGTGAAAACTCATCTTTCCATCAGTGGCACATCAAAGGCCACGGCCAGTGGGGAAAAAGATGTTTTGTACACACATCCAAGGAATTGGGAGCTTATTTAAACCAGCATCAGAGGTGCAGTGTTTGCACTCTTAAAGCATGTGTCGGCAGTCACAGTTCATTAAACAATCTGCAGAAGACAGTAAGGGGGTTTTCAGACAACATTCATTTCAATGCATTGTTTATTAGGCCATTGGATTGTGCTGTCATATTATTTTTCCTTAAAAGTTATTTTCATCACAATGAAAATGCCTTGAAGTGAAGGGGCTATGTTGCCTCAAAAATATGAAGTGTCAGCTCTGGGGATCTCATTTAATGCGCCTGTTAGTTCAAATTGTGCATGAGATGTACAAGTACTGTTTGTGTTAGTTCTTCTACTTACTGTACATGGGGAAACAGTTTTATTTGCAAGTGGAGTGTGCTTTTAACACTTAAATCTAGATTGGAGTGGAAGCTTAGTTGGTGACGTCAGGGCCCCAGCAATCCTAATATCTCTTTTTAAAGTAAAACAAAACTATGGAACTAAAACCTAAGGAACTGTACAAAATGAATTTGAATAGCAGGATTATCGGTAGCACTACAAGAATGGCAGAGTGAAGGGAGCACAGCCTCAGCTGTTATATGTTTTGCGATCAGAAAGCAGATTTCCAGGGGTACAAAGTTCTGTCTACTTAAACAACTCTACAGAGTCTTGACATTACCCAGTGTTGTGGTTGTGCATCATATATTAAGGAAGAAAACCATGGTTCCAGAAAGTGATGTCATTGACACAGTGAGCTCCCTCACAGAATAAACAGCACTGTGACCTTAAAGATAGCTTATTACAAACAGAAATGTCAGCACTGACATCCCAATTGGCTTGTAAAGGCTGCATTATACTGGATGCACATTTCAGCTCCCATCAACCGTATTCACATCTAGTAGAATTGAGAGGCAGGACAGAGGCAGATAATGTCAGGAGAACTAGCTGTTTTCCATGTGAGGCACAGCCAAACTCCTAGCCAAAGCTTTTTAATTCACTTTGTGTAACTATCCTTTTCATGTGGTAAAAACAATTCCCCCATCCCTCCTGTCACCTGTGTATTCACTTTAAGGTTGCAAGAGACAGTCCGGCTGCCAAAACAAAGAATGAAATGATTTTTACTCTTGACATGAAGAACAGGTCGAGAACTGACAAATTACTCTACCAGTTGAATTAAAGGTTTTAAGGGCAGACTTTAGGAAAGCTGGTTGCACAAGCCCAAAAGGAATTCAGTTAGGACACAAGATTCAGCAACACCCCTACTCTGACAAACAGTATCCTGTGATCTTTAATGACCAAGTAGGCAGAGCGTCATTGCATCATCTCTCTCAGCGCCTGCCTTGAGTCACCTCACCGGGGCATTGATTGAGAAATGTTGGAAAAAGTAGAAAGAGCACCACCTACAGATCCACTAACACTACTTACCCTTACAGCAACCACCAGGCTATCCTTGGAGGTTTCCCATCTGGGACTGACCAGGCCCAACCTTGCATAGCTGTTATGATCCAACGAGATTTTAATATACTGAACAACATAATGCTACTGTACTTAGAGTTACAGTATGTGCAATCTGTCAGTGATGACAAGTGGGGAGCGCATAGGCGCAAAAATAAAAAAAAAGGCACAGAGACATCTTTGACTGGGCAAATTAATGAGATGGGGTGCCCAAATCCTTTTTGCACAGGTATTGGAGATAAAACCCCCAGGAGAGGCAATTTAAAATATCCAAACAAACTTGTCCTACACGTATTGCTTAGTAAACCAAAACACAGGCACCCAAAGTCAGAATTGAACCCAGAATCCTGGCTCTGTACGACAGCAGCAGTGTCCACCACACCATCCTGCTGCCCTAAATGTAAATTTAAGCTTTGAGGAAAACAAGAAAAAGAAATAGGAGGCAAACTTTGTACTTGTATCATTGCCAAAAATATTTGTATTCTCCGACATTCTGAATTGATCTAATCTGTGCTGGTGTTTAGATTTTTTGTTAAATTCTATAGTAGCATTTATGAATTCAGGAGAGAGTTCTTCATTTCTTTCATTCTTAAACATTTCTAGCTCTCAGAGGATGTTGCATTGGAGAGGAATGTGCAGTAATTCACTTCTACAGCGTTCACTACATTAACCCTTCATCACTTTAATCAGTTCATGTGGTACTGCCAGTTTTATTAAAAAATGTCATCCAGCCTTTTCCCCCCCCACAGAGGTTAACGTTTTGAAGCGTTTGTGAACACAAATAGTGATGAGCGCACAGAAGAATTTTGAATCTTTCATCTTTTTCTGGTCCCATGTTGTTATACCCAGTTTGAACTTTTCCAGGTTTTTTTATGCTGCTTGTACTATAGATTCTGAATTATTCATCTATTCTGCATTCCCCATACTTTATGACTTCCAGAAACAACGTTAATAACCTTACTTGGTGCAAACATTCTGAGAAAATAAAATGGCAAATAACATCTCTTGAAGCTAAATTGAAATAAAAGTCTTTGTACAAAGGTACATATACTGTTAACTTTTGTACAATACAGCTGGACAGAGTTTGATGGCAGAACTTGTTTTTAAACTCATCTTTGCTAGCATTTATCATTTGGAGTGTTTCAAATTGTGCATTTTTTTTCCTACCTATTAGGATTTTAGGATTTCTCTCTTTTCTTGTCTTTGTCTTTCCTGTATCTAAGCAGAAGAAGAAAATCACAGTAGCCATGGAGCTGTCTGATCTTGTCATCTATACAAAGTCCGTGAAATTCATCAGCTTCAGTCATTCCAGTGGGAACCAGAAGTTCTACGAGAACACTTCGCTTGGGGAGAACAAGGCCCGTAAACTGGCCAGAAACTCAGGTAGTCATGGATACTGTTTGGAAAGAGCAAAAAAAAAGGCATACCCTTTACAAATGACAGGATGTGCAGATAGATGTTAACTCTTTTTAGTGACACGTTTTAGTGATTATACACTAGGTGTTCTTGCTACTGCTTGGATAGTTTAAATTAAAGGGTTTGTCAGAAATTGTACAAATATAAAGGTAGGTGCAAGAACAATAATCTAAAGAATAAAAAAATATTAATTGATGGATAGATAAATAATAAAGAAATGTCCATAAATGCCATCTTTCTTGCAAATTATAACGTGAGGCATCACCAGTCACATCTGGCTTCAGCGTGTGGTACAAGGGGCACTACTGTGCAGGTAAACCGATAAAGCTCTTGCTGTTTAGTGCTCCTTACATCACAAAGTTGGCTTTCCTACAAATGGTTGACTCTCCAAAGGGACCAAACGTCTCTAGACTGTCACGAACAGTTCTTTCCGGGCCCTATGCAGACGACATGATCCGGTAGGTAGGGGTACACAAGGGAAAAGTTCATGCGGGAGTAGGATCTGAAGACAGGGGGGCGTGTCCATGCAGTACAGGTGTCCAGGGGGGAGTGAATCCAGGCGAACAATCCATATAGGAAATCCAAACGGGTAAACAGAAACAAGGGCTGAAGTCCATAGCCAGGCGATCCATCCGGAGGGGGGGAACAGGAACCGGGTCGGAACCGGCGAGGGGAACCAGGAACTAGGAACAGAAAGTTAAAAGCATAACGGAGCCAGACGCAGCAGGACCCCGGGCTCTCACGATACGGAAATCAATGAGAAACCAGGAGTGAGGTCCACGTCTGGCTTTTAAGGGGGAGCGGGAATAGGGAACAGGTGCAGACAATGGGAGGGAACGAGGCAGGGCTGGAACGCCCTTAAGAGGAGGAGTTAGCGATCGTGACATAGACAGCAGGTACTTAGGAAAGTTCCTGATGCACATTTTGATACTGCCAGTTGATGGCCTTTGTTCCTATTTTAAGTTTATAAACCCCTACGTCATACAGTATGACATACAGTACTGATTAATTCTGGCAGATCTCTTTGTCCAGCCAGTCAGAAACAGCACCCTCCCAGTGCTTTCACCAACAAAAATCACTAGCTCTCTCCTGGCTTAAATACCTGACAGAGACAAACCACTGACCCACAACATTTCATTGACAGTGGCATCTTGTGACAATCACTGCGCCTTCCCTCAGCATGAAGCACAGCATGAGTTATCCAGTCTCCGACTTCAGATAGGATTACTGTATTGCTGATTTGTAACAGTCTTTGCTGGAGGAAAAAGGTCTGATACGAGATTGGATGTTGTCTGTCAATCTCGATCTATTCTAAAAAACGGTAAAAAAGAAATTCAAAAACTTCTTTAGTTAAAAAAACACAAAGAAGCACTCCAGCAAAAATTGTCCTCAATGACAGTGGAGTAAGGAGAACATATTGATTGCTGCTGTACTCATGAACAGGTTTATTCTCTGAGACCACATGAATTTTCACACATGGTGTTTGAGTGTGTAATAATGTTTATAGGGTATGGTATTTCCAGCTATAAATACTGATCACACAAAGTACAGACAATCTAATACCATCTGATGACGCATCTCAGGCTTGACTCATCCTTTTCTCTCATGCATGCTCAGTGAAGGATATTGTGTGTGTGCTGTGGATGGATTTTCTTAAAAACAAAATGTCAGCCAGCTATGCTGAATTGAAAGAGGTCTTTTTTTGTTAATGTAATTATCATCCTTTTTGCAATTGCTTGTTTTCTCCTCTTTGTTTTGATTACACCTTAGCTCAGAGTCCAACAGAATGAAACGGTGTTATAATTGTTACTTGAGTAAAGCCAATGATATTTTCATATTTTTTAAGTGATTATACAACAGTTCTTTTCGCTGCTGCTTGGACATTTCAGATTATGAAAGGGTTGTTATGTTGTGACTATTTTGTCCTTTGTTCTGCAGGCTGTGAGTTTGCGCTCCACAATTCCAGGTTCCTCACCAGGATCTACCCAGCTGGATCTCGAACGATGTCTTCTAACTACAACCCTCAGGAGTTCTGGAATGTTGGGTCACAGCTAGGTAGACGTGGGGCCTTCCCAGCCTCTACAGCCTTTTGTTTCTTGACTTCTATCGTTCGCACCCAACTTAATCTTTAAATTCACAAAGCAAACCTAGCTTCTGCTTAAAAAAAACCAAACATTCAGCTGTCAGTTAAATCTACATACTGCACCCAAACATTAAACATCAAACAGATCGATGTGAATGGTGGCTGATAAAATATCAGAGATGCTTCTATTCCGAGAAACACACAGTTACTGCAACGTCTTTCAGTTCAGACTTAAGCAAGTTTTAATTGCTTAAGTGCCATAGCTTCTGGGATTTTATTCTCTTGTTTTGTCACCAAATAATGCGCTACTGTATGTAAGGACCATGTGTAGCATAATTGCCACATTAAGTTCCTTGCTTTTAAGAACATTTTTCATCCCTGATCACATAGACACCCGATGTTAATCTCTCCAACACCACTGTGAAAGTGCAAAACCTTGAAAACTCCCAGGTTCATGTCAAGCCTAAGCTGCTCCTCACTCCAGGTCTTTGGCAGCAGTGAACTCCCTCCTCTGTGTGCCAGGGACAGGGGATAATTGTTCATTAGTTTCAAAGCTTCTGCCTTGGGAATTCCAAAGGGAGCATTCATTCCCTTTTCTGAAGGGAAAAAAAAACACCGGGTCCTTCAGTCACTGTGCTTTAGCCAGAGTGCTGGACATAAGTAACCTAACTTGTGTGTGTTGGCAGGTAATCTGACCAGCCCTTTAACTGTAGTGCCCGTGACCTTCACAAACTCCAGTTGTATTTCCAAACTCTACAGTGTATGATCAAAGATGTGTCATCATGTATAATAAAAATGGGTATGAAAGAACACCATTGGAGTGTGTGCAAAACCAAGACATCCATACATTTTCTAATCTGCTTATTCAGCACAGGGTCGTAGGGGAAGCAAGAGTCTTTCCCAGCAAACAACGGGCCCAAGACAGGAAAACCAAGACATATGTCCCTTTTTTACCCAAACTGAAAAGCATTATAACTAGGAAAGTATTTCAGCACTATAAATATATGGATTTGAGCTCAGGATTAAGGCATCATCATATCTAATGCATTTTTTAGCTTCAAATGATTTTTTAAACTATTCTGAAATATATTTTTCAAACCTCCCTACCTTCTATGCGTGTACTATCTATCTTTTTGCGCCTTCTCAAATTTACCCAGAAGACAGCATCTATCTTTTTCTTTGCTGAAGACTGCAGAATACACTTTCATGCTCTGTTACACTTCTGACGTATGAAGGCAGTGCATTGCCATGCTGTGAGGGAGAGGAGAGAGATCAATTAAGTATAAATGATTAATAAAAATGAATGGAATATCAGGGAGTACATCAAGCACAAAACACTGATCACAGATTTACATATTCTTCAAAGATAGTTTCACAATAGTACAGCATAATGTGTATCAAATGTCAACTCTATTAGAATTGCAACTCATATATCTGGAAACACAAATGTTCCTCCCCGATCAAAGGACTGAAACAGCCCATGGATGACTAAAAGAAATGGCTTGATGGGATTGTGAAGCCAGCAGCCAAATCCAGCCATACCCTGCAACTCACAACTGGCAGCCCACTGAAGCTAAGCAGGTGTGAGCCTGGTCAGTACCTGGATGGGAGACTCCTGGGAAAAACTAAGGTTGCTGCTGGAAGAGGTGTTAGTAGGGCCTGCAGGGGGCACTCACCCTGCAGTCTGTGTGGGGTCTGTGTAGGTCCTAATGCCCCAGTATAGTGATGGGGACACTATACTGTAAACAGGTGCTGTCCTTTGGATGAGATGTTAAACCGAGGTCCTGACTCTCTGTGGTCATTAAAAAATCCCAGAGCGTTTCTCGAAAAGAGTAGGGGTGTGACTCCGGCGTCCTGGCCAAATTTCCCATTGGCCTTTACCAATCATGGCCTCCTAATAATCCCCCTCTATGAATTGGCTTCATTACTCTGCTGTCCTCCCCAGTGATAGCTGGTGTGTGGGGAGCGTTCTGGCGCACTATGGCTGCCGTTGCATCATCCAGGTGGGGCTGCACATTGGTGGTGGTGAAGGGGAGTCACCATTACCTGTAAAGCGCTTTATAAGTGTAAACAATTATAATTAGGTTACTGGCAACTAAATTAAGAAGAATAGAATAGAATGGCATCCATTTCCAATCTATGTTCTTAATAATACTGTAGAATGTACACCTGAGACTATGTAACAGGCATAGTTAGGAGTTGTG